GTGTATGTGTGCGTGTATGCGTGTTCGTGTATGTGTGCGTGTATGCGTGTTCGTGTATGTGTGCGTGTATGTGTGAGCGTGTATGTGTGCGTGTATGCGTGAGCATGTATGTGTGTGTGTGTGCGTGAGCGTGTATGTGTGCGTGTGTGCGTGAGCATGTATGTGTGCGTGTATGTGTGCGTGTATGCGTGATCATGTATGTGTGTGTGTGTGCGTGAGCATGTATGTGTGTGTGCATGCGTGAGCGTTTATGCTCTCACTTTAAGTCTCACGCTCATGTTATCACTCACAGCTATACGGACACACAGCGTCCCGCTCGCATGTGATTAATTTGCAGACGTTGCACAGTACAGCGTTTTACGAGGATGTACGCAGCATAGCAATGTCAGCTCGATCAGAAAGACAGACACCAACCCCCCACCACAACTATTGGCGCGCCCACGCGCCTTTCCGCCCCGCAATAGACGCGAGTGCAGGATTGCCACTAATGCCCTCAAACGACGATACGCGACTACACGGTAATCCGCAGGTCGTGAAGATATGTGGCAGCAATAGATGACCAGCTAGGTACTGTAGCAATGGTAGAGAAATGGCAGTAGTAGCAGCAATGGAAATCCAGTTGGTTACTGTAGCAATGGTAGAGCAATGGTAGTTGTAGCAGCAATGGAAGACCAGCTAGTTACTGTAGCAATTATGGTAGATCAATGGCAGGTGTAGCAAGAAGAGAAGACCAGTTGGTTACTGTAGCAATGGTAGAGCAATGGTAGTTGTAGCAGCAATGGAAGACCAGTTGGTTACTGTAGCAATGGTAGAGCAATGGCAGTTGTAGCAGCAATGAAAGACCAATTAGTTACTGTAGCAATCGTAGAGCAATGGTAGTTGCAACAACAATAGTAAAACAGTGGTAGTTGCAGCAGTAATAGTAGAGCAATGCTAGTTGCAGCAACAAAAGTAGAACAGTGGTAGTTGTAGCAGCAATAGCACACACGCGCCCCCTCCACTACCCAACACCCATCTATCCCCTCCCACTCCCCCCTCCCCAACCGCCGCCAACACGGCAAGCGAGCGTGAGATGGCAGTAGAGGTGTCAATGACGAAACCAATCTGTTTACGGCGGTCGGGAAGCTGCTGTGAAGTGGCGCGCACGAGCGTGTGCACGTGCGGGCACGCCCCCGAGCGACAGCGGCTGCTGCCGCAGTTTGCCTAGCTTGCAGAATTCGACCAAAGTGTATTGCTACACGTGAATTGCCTTCAGTAACGCTGGGATGGAGCCAAGAGGCAGGCAGCTGGATATACGAGAGATATATATAGAGCGAAAGGAAGAGAGAAACAGAGTGTGAGAGAATACGAGAAAAAGAGAGAGAGGAAGAAAAGGAGATTCACTTGAAAGGAAGGATAAAAAAATAGGCGACGAGCACAGGGTGAAAGCTTAGTGAACCCTTTTCATTGAAGTGAAAACGCCCCATATGTTCTTCAAAAACACATCCACACGCACACGCGCGCACGCACCTGCACACGCACGCACACACACACAAACACACGCATATCCACACGCACACACGCACACGCATGCATACACCTGCCCACGCACACACACATACGCACATCCACACGCACACGCACACACACATACGCACACAACTGCACACGCACACAAATACGGACATCCACACGCACACACACGCACACGCATACACATACGGACATCCACACGCACGCACACGAGAGGTAGGCGATGTGCACTGATGTGAACTTCGGTCGTTGCAGGACTCCTACATTCAGAGCAGGGCGACCACGATGGAGAGCATAGAGACGACCATTGTTGAGCTCGGATCCATATTCCAGCAGCTCGCCCACATGGTGCAGGAGCAGGAAGAGATGGTTGAGAGGTACGTGCGTGCGTGCGTGCGTGCGTGTGCGCGTGTGCGTGCGTGTGCGTACGTGTATGTGTGTGCCATTTATCTACCTGCAAGTTAGATGTGCACATTCCCTACCTCTCTATTCATCTGCACACTGCCTACCTCTCTATTTATCTGCCTGCAAGTTAGATGTGCGCATTGCCTACCTCTCTATTTATCTACCTGCAAGTTAGATGTGCACATTGCCTACCTCTCTATTTATCTACCTGCAAGTTAGCTATGCACATTGCCTACCTCTCTATTTATCTGCCTGCAAGTTAGCTATGCACACTGCCTACCTCTCTATTTATCTGCCTACAAGTTAGATGTGTACATTGCCTACCTCTCTATTTATCTGCCTGCAAGTTAGCTGTGTACATCGCCTACCTCTCTATTTATTTATTCATATGTTAGTAGCGTACTTCGTCAACCGCTCCATTTATCTACCTGCAAGTTAGCTGTGCACATTTCCTACCTGTCTATTAATCTATCTGTATGTTAGTAGTGTACTTCGTCTACCTCTCCATTTATCTACCTGCAAATTAGCAGTGCACATTGCCTACCTGTCGATTTACCAACTGGTATGATTGTGGTGGTTTTTACCTGCAAATTAGAGGCCTACCTGTCTAGTTATCTACCTATACGTTAGGTATGCACATCTCCTACAGTTCCTTACCTGCAAGTTAACAGTGCACATTGCCTGCCTTTCCATTTATCCATCTATAAGTTAAAGTGTACATCACCTGCATGTCTATTTATCTACTGGAAAGTTAGTAGTGTACATTACCTGCATGCCTATTTACCTACTAGAAAGTTAGTAATGTACGTTTCCTGTATGTCTATTTACCTACTAGTATATAAGTTAGTAGTGTACACTACCTGCATGTCTATTTAGCTACTAGTAAGTTAGTAGCATACATTACCTGCATGTCTATTTACCTACTAGAAAGTTAGTAGTGTACCTCAGCTGCATGTCTATTTACCTACTGGAAAGTTAGTAGTGGACATTACCTGCATGCCTATTTACCTACTGGAAAGTTAGAAATGTACACTACCTGCATGTCTATTTACCTACTGAAAAGTTAGTAGTGTACAATACCTACCTCTCTATTTACCTACTAGTAAGTTGGTAGCATACATTGCTCACCTGTCCATCTACTGACTCATTAGCAGCTACCCACCTGCTGATCCATCTACTGACTCATTAGCAGCTACCCACCTGCTGTCCATCTACTGACTCATTAGCAGCTACCCACCTGCTGATCAGTGTTCAACACCTTCTTGCTTACCAGAAACATAACTGGCTGTGTGCTACATTGTTACAGTGGCGTACATTATTTACCTGTCTACTGACCTAGCCGCTCGTTAGCAGCGTGCTTACCTGAACCGTACCATTCTTACCTGCTCATCTACCAGCTGTAGCTGTTCCTGGTATCGGCTGCTGCCCGGACCCATGCCCATGTCTATCGCTACCTCTTGAGAACTGGTCGAATCCTCTTGTAGTAGGACTGAGCCCGCTGTAAGCACGCACATAACACACATTAGGTGGCTCGTCATTGAGTGAATAATAGGTGACAAAACACACACTATGTGACATGACAGTGAGCAAACATTAGGTGACGTATCAGTGAGTGTATACTAAGTGACATAATAAACATTACATGAGATGTCAGTGAGTAAATATTAGGTGACATGTCAATTAACAAACATTATGTGACATACTTAAAATTAGGCAACATGTCAGTGACAAAACATTAAACGTGTCACGACTGTCACAGGTCACACATCTGTCACATGGGATGACGCTCTCACGAACATCACCAGCAGCTCATCTACTATTCAAGACAGCACTCCACCCCCACCCACCCACGCTACCACACTGCTAAACACTACTAAACTTGCTCGCGTACGCTGCGCTACTCACTGTAGTGGCCCGTCATGGCGGAAGGAGGCAGCGACGACGCGACGGGTCCCTGCGAATACTGCTCTCTCCTAGAGCGCTGCTGCTTCAGATTCTGCAAACGCAACGAGAGAGACGCGAGTGACGTCGTCGGGTCGCGCACGGGCGAGTCTCTGTTTGGAAATCGCCGCGTTGCTCGCCCGATGACGCGCGGTCGACGCGTGGACGAACGTTCCGAGTCGCTCGCGACGATAAGCGAACGTCTCCGCATCGCGGCGACCTTCGAAAGTCGCCCTCTGGCCGTCACCGCCCGTGGAACTCCCGCCTTCCAATTTGATTAATTGTGACATGTCGGCTGGAGATGGCCTGAACGACGTCTTACCATCTTACAGTGCATGCAACAGTGGGGTCAAGTCAACAATGTTTCGTGAATACAAACTGTGTGATCAGAAATCCCCAGACGCATTGACTATGCACGCGACATTTTTTGGAGATAACAGTGGGGAAGCCACTGTATTGCCCATAGCGCGCACCCCCGTCCTATTATATCGCACGCCCGAAGCGTCCCCTTCCACATCGCATGCCCGTAGCACCCCCTATGCCGCACGCCCGTAGCGCCCCCTACATCGCACGCCCGTAGCACCCCCTATGCCGCACGCCCCATAGCGCCCCCTACGTCGCACGCTGGCGCCATCTTACCTCAGTGCGAACCTCCAGCACCGACTTGAAGTTGTTCGACATCGTCGCAAGCTTCGACTGCAGCGCCACGACAACGGCATTCGAGTGCGTCTGCCGGTGCTGCCCTCCAATGCGAGCCTTCGAACGCGACAACTGTCGGAAACACAAGAACGCGCATCAGTGCCGTCGCCCCCGAGACTCCTAATGACGGACGGAGAATACGAGTGTTGATTATTTTTTGCACGATATTTTGCGCGATTGCACGACTGATTTAAAGAGAAATGTCTGTCGTGCAATTATTTGTGTAATTGTGAATACATTCATGTTTCGCGAAGTATCTCTCATATGGTTTCGATAAAAAGGTTCTGAAAAAAGACCTGATGCGCAACGACCATGAATCTGAACGCAGGAAGTTTTGCATCAACTCTCTCTGAGTTATTGTAATCAATAACTGTCTAGCATAATGCACCGCAAATCAGCGGCAAAACGAAATCACTAATTTACGTCACATTGCGAAGACGTCGCCGTGCGCACGACACGCATGTTTACCCAACGATAAAATCCAAAATGCATCACGCGCCGGCACTCTAGCATCGTTCTATTCGTCATAAATAAGCGATAATGCCGTGCGAGAAACGCTGAGCCACTAACGGCAACACGTGAGTTCAGCTAAAAGCTTTCTAACACAATGCGGTACAACATCTTTAGCACCTTGCATCAAACGGACAAATCTAATGCTCGCGGAATAATACACCAATGGAATGTAAAGATTCTCACACTGAGACACCTTGAGAATTTGGCTCTAAAACCCTTTGTCGACACAACATGGTTGTTACCTAACAGAGATCCTACCTATCAGACAACGATAGATACTGTACGAAATTCTTAACAAAGCATTCGCACACGACCTGCCATTAAACGTCCCAAAATATCTCAGGTACCGAAGCAACTTTATGTATGGGCGAATGATCGTCACAAAAAAATCGGGCCTGCAATAAAGCCTGGCGCACAAGTTACGGTTTTTCCCGTACGACTTTTTCCGTTCCTACCCTGCAAGTGAATTCGGAGCATGTGCTGTCTAATTATCCTGCGATTTTTCCCGCTACTGATCAGAGCATATCAAGCTGGTTTGATATCTACCGATGAAAAACTGCACAGATAAACTCGGACTGTAGCTTGTGCGGTGTTCAACAGAAAAACCCGGTTACGCGGGCCAATCAGCATCGAGCAAAAATCACATAATCGACAAAATGGCAGCGTCCATGGAAGATGCTCATGACAAAATGGCAGCGTCCATGGAAGATGCTCATGACAAAAAAGGGGATGACAAAAAGGAAGCATTACTTGTTGATATGTGACCACGGCATAAATGTCTCTATGACACAACATCATCTGAATACAAAGACTGCAATAAGAGATCACATGTGTTAAAAGCTATTGCTGATGCTCTTAATAAATTCGCTAATTTGCTTTAATAATGCTCGCAATATTTATCCCGATTTTAATCGGTAACCAGCGCACACGGCGTAGCGTGTGCGGGATACACCGATTATTTCCAGCGACTAAAACTGTAGCCTAGCTTGCGTGTGCGCCAGGCTTAACGTTTTCGCGATCGTCGTTTGTGCAGAGCAGTGCGAAAGCTGGCTCGCGCAGACGTTGCCACGAAGACCGCAGACGTTGCCACGACGACCACGCAGAGGTTGCCACGACGGCCGCGCAGAAGTTACCACGACGACCGTGCAGACATTGCCACGACGACTGCGCAGACGTTGCCACGACGACCGCGCAGCATCGCGGTAACCTGTGGCTTCACATCGGGTGTGTGTGTGTGTGTGCATGCGTGTGTGTGCATGTGAGTGTGTGTGTGTGTGCGTGCATGCGTGCATGTGTGTGTGTGTGCGTGCGTGTGTGCATGTGTGTGTGTGTGTGTGTGTGCGTGCGTGCACATGTGCGTGCGTGCGTGCGCGTGTGCATACGTGCGTGTGTGTGCGTACCTCCTGCAGAGAAGCGATCTGCTTGTTCAGTGAGTTGATGTCCTGCTTGATGATGTAAGTCAGCTCCTGTATCTCAACGGGACGATCGTCGAATAACGACTTCTTCTTTGCCACTGCAAAGCAAACAACGAAACTCTGTACGTAGCTTAGCAACAGCGAAATTCTGTAGTTTAGCAACAGCGAAACTCTGTAGCTTAGCAACACGAAACTCTGTAGCTTAGCAACACGAAACTCTGTAGCTTAGCAACACGAAACTCTGTGGCTTCGCAACACAAACTCTGTGGCTTGGCGACAAAAAAACTCTGTAGTTTAGCAACAGTCTGAAGGTAGAACGAAAAATCAACAACAAATAACTCTTCTGTCAGATGAATGTTCGCAAATTGCAGCGTCGACACCAGTGAAATATTCGTCAGAGCCGCATCACAGCAGATACTAGTCGGAGCAGTTGCAATTCGTCACGAACGTCAAATTTTCGGCACAAAATTCACTGCAAAACTCGACGCGCGTTAACGAACGGAACCCCCCCCCCCCCCCGCCGCAATCCCGAGAGTGAAACAAACATCCCGGTCGGCATCGAGGGGACCTGGATACGTCGTCGTCAGCGGCGGCAACGGTTGCCGCGGCGATTTCCGTCGACACTTACGTATCGTCAGCTTCTCCAGCTTCGAGAACGTGCTGCTGAGGTCGCGGCCGATTCGCCTGAGGGAAAGACAACAGGAGGTGAACCACCAGCGTCGCGACGACGATACGTGATTCCGCCAATTAGTGCTCATCGTCATGGCAACGCGATCTCGTCGAGGTAAGCGGCCAAATCAGCGACGCGCGGCATGCGCCGAAAAGTTCAATGGCAGGTGGGAAAAGGGAAAAAAACAAATGAGCATTCGCGTCGTCGAATTCGCCGATGTACAGGGAGCGTGACGTTAAAGCGCTGCGGTTACGTTTACGCTGAAGTTTCGCGTCACCGCCGTCGTTTGTCAAGACACGTATCAAGGTGTGGCGTCCACGTACGTTGAAGGCGACATATTTTGAATTCGACGAACTTCGTGAAGTTCTTGATTCGAATGTCAGCCCGTCACAGTAGGCAAGTGGTACATCCAATAATCGAGAATGCATCGATTTATAATTGATGTCAGTTAAAGGTGATGTTTACGTGATTTCAAAATCGGGTTTGTATGTCACTTCGCTCATCCACTTTTGCAGTACCACATAAGCACATTAATTTAACTAAAAAATCATGCTGAAAGCTCGATTAGTGTGCATCCAATGAGAAAACCAGTCTAAACCACTACTATTAGCTAAACACTCCTTGTATAAACTGGAAAGTATCACAACTTTCCTCACATGCAACACGCGGCTTAGTCAGTGCTACAGATGCAAGTATGCAATCATTGATGATCGATGAATGTTGCAATGATGCAATCTTGACACGACACAAAAATGGGAAAAAATATAGAGAAGATCCATGATTCTCACCAAAAGTGTGCAAAACAACTCACTGTGATCCGACGTTACAAGTGAAGAAAATGCAAACACATACGATGAACAGGAAGCGAAGCACTGTGTGACCTGTGTATTATTTGGGTAACCGTACTTTGCTATCTGCATGAACTCGCTCCTCTGCTTAAGATCGGAATGATTCTGGTAGACGGACGACAGCTGGCTGCTTCCCTGAATATCGAAAATACAGAACATGATAAAACACAAACCAAACACACGAACACATTAGATGTGTAACAGACAGGCATTGTTGGGATAGCAAACTATATAGCAAACAAAATACACCCAAAGCCATTTACCATCCAATTTGTCTGCTTGTTCAGCCATCGGGTTTGTCTTTTTGTCCTTTTTTTATACCTACCTTACTGCTATTTTCCCATTCTGTTGTTCATATATATATTATCAGGAGTGAATAATAGAGTGAAATATAGTGAATAATATAGTGAATAATCTCTATTATTCACTCCTGATATTATTGTACATATACATTTATTGTTCATCCTGTTGTTCTACCACTCCTGTCTTTCTTCCTGATCACTCGGTCACTCTGCCCATCCCCTTGTCACGCACACTCACTTCTTCTGTCATCTCTGCATATACTGTCACCCTGTCATCCCTACCCATCCTGTCACCCTGTCATCCCTACCTATCCTGTCACCCTGTCATCCCTACCTATCCTGTCGCCCTGTCATCCCTACCTATCCTGTCACCCTGTCATCCGTACCCATCCTGTCACCCTGTCATCCCTACCTATCCTGTCACCCTGTCATCCCTACCTATCCTGTCGCCCTGTCATCACTACCTATCCTGTCACCCTGTCATCCCTACCTATCCTGTCACCCTGTCATGCCTACCTGTCCTGTCACCCTGTCATCCGTACCCATCCTGTCATTCTGTCATCCCTACCTATCCTGTCACCCTGTCACCCTGTCATCCGTACCCATCCTGTAACCCTGTCATCCCTACCCATCCTGTCACCCTGTCATCCCTACCTATCCTGT